GGGGGTTGTGGTCTACTCATGGGGTATTGTCTCTAGCACTCCTTCCTCCTCGCAGTCTTCTGCTGCTCCAGAGTGGGGTCCTACCCACCAGAGCCAGTCTTCCACATCCACCTGCTCCGGCATGCTGATTCAGAGGAAGTAATCAACAGTGGTATCACCCAAGTTTGCAGATCATACTAAGCTTTCTGAAGTAGTCCAACACCGGTGCAGTGGCAAGGAGTTCAGTTGTGTGAGATCCTCCCCTAGGCAAAAGTGATAGATGAGCTCCAGTACAGATCTAAGCATTTGTGGTATACATGGCACTGAACTTGTACTTCAGCAGCTTGTAATAAGACCTCCGGGCAGAGATCTTTCACAATTCTTCTGTAACCATACCACAGTTTGGAGTTCCATCAATTTTTTTTTTTTTTGCAAAAAAAGGAGGTGGTGCTACTTTGTTCCTGAGTAAGTCTGGTGGACCCAGATTTTCAGTGCTGGGCAGTTGTGGTTTCTATATTTAGAGGGAGTCCATTGTGGAGTTAAAAGAAGGGCAGCTGATCAAGGAAATGAAGAAACTGCTTTGTGAGGAGAGACTGAAAATGCTGGGACCCTTCACTGTGGAAAGGGGAAGACTGAGGGGGAAAGGGGTCAAGGTTTACAAAATCTTGAAAGCTGTGAGTCAAATGGATGCAGAATTAGTATTCACCAAATGGTACAAATACTAGTCTGGGTGGCACTTCTTCATTTCAAACAGATTGACCAATTATATTAAGGTAATATTTCACACAGATAAAGATGATACTTCATGCAGCAGCCACTGAGCTTCTAAGCTGCAATGCCATAGGAGGCAGATAGTACCAGCAAGTTCAAAGGGGATTTTGAAGATTCATTGACACCTCACCCATAAGAAATAGTAAAAGAAGCAAGCAGGGCTATACCATGGATGGATTGTAGAAAATGACCAGGCTCACCTGGTGTACCTAAATGCTGTGCTCTTGCCAGTTACTACAGCAACTCAGTGGGAAAAAATAATCACAGAATATGCGAGGATCATTGAGTCCAACCCCAGGAGTCACACTATGTGCCTGAGAGTGTCATCCAAATGCTTCTTGGAATCTTGTCAGGCTTGGTGCTGTGACCACTTCCCTGGGGACACTGTTCCAGCACCCAACCACCCTCTAGGTGAAGAATTTTTTTCTAATATCCAACCTAAACATCCCCTGATGCAACTTCAGGCCATTCCTTGGGTCCAGTCACTGGTCACCACAGAGATCAGTGCCTGCCCCTCCTCTTCCCCTCATAAGGAAGTTGTAGACTGCAATGAGGTCTCCCCTCAGTCTCCTCCACGCTGAACACACCAAGTGACCTCAGCCACTCCTCATACAGTTTCCCCTCAAGGCCCTTCACCAGCTTTGCAGCCCTCCTTTGGACACTCTCTAATGGTTTAATATCTTTTTTATATTGTGGTGCCCAAAACTGCCACACAAGGTGAGGTGTCACCACTGCAGAGCAGAGCAGGACAATCCCCTCCCTCAACTGGCTGGCGATGTTTTGCCTGATGCCCCCCAGGACACGGTTGGCCCTCCTGGCTGCCAGGGCACTGCTGACTCATATTCAACTTGTGATTGACCAGGACCCCCAGGTCCCTTTCCATGGCGCTGCTTTCCAATATCTCATTCCCCAGTATGTATGAACATCCAGGGTTGCCCCATCCCATGTGCAGAATCTAGCGCTTCCCCTTGTTGAACTTCATATGCTTGGTGATTGCCAAGTCCTCTAATTTTTTCGAGGTCTCTCTGCAGGGCCTCCCTGCCTTTGAGGGACTGAACAGGTCCTCCCGGTTTTGTGTCATCTGCAAACTAGCTTAGCATCCCTTCCAGTTCTGTGTCCAAGTCATTTATGAAGATGTTGAAGAGCTCAGGGCCTGAGATGGAGCCCTGTGGAACCCCACTAGTGACAGGTCAGCAGTCTGATGTTACCCCAGTCACTATTACTCTCTGTGCTTGACCTGTGAGCCAATTGCTCACCCACCACATGATGTGTTTATCCAGCTGTGGGCTGGATATTTTGTCCAGAAGGATCCTGTGAGAGACAGTATTGAAAGCTTTACTGAAATCCAAAAGATTACATCAACTGGCTTCCCCTGATCAACTAGGTGGATTATCTTATAAAAGGAACTCAGGTTTGACAAGCAGGTTTGATAAGACTGTGTTGTCTTTCACATGTTTTTCAATACCTGCCAGAATAATCTTCTCCATAAATTTATCAGGCACTGAAGTGAGAATGAACTTCTGTTTGGGAGATAAAAATATTTCGAGTGCCCTTACAAAAACTTAGAGAACTTCCTTGCAATGTTGCCATGTTGGCAGAATGCTTCTGCTTTAGAGGTAGTTCAGCCCCTGACAGGAAAACTCTAGTTTGCCCTTGGCAAATGCAGTTTGACTGCCAGGGCTGTGCTAGCTATGAAGTGGCTGCGGAGAGCTGCATGACAGGAGCCTGTGGTTCTTTAGTAGTGTTACCTCCTGCTCACAGCAATTTCAGGCTGTCACAGCTGAAAGCAAGCTTTGCTAAGTGTCTTGCATATGTTCAGAAACACTGTAGCAATAGAAGTGGTGTTGTTCTGTAGAAGGCAAATGGCTTATGTAAAAGAAGTGCAGAAATGTCAGTACGTGACTAGTTTAATATTTAGGTGATTTCCTCATGTCAAAATAACAGAACATGACAATGTACTAGTCATAAACACTGATGTAGCAGGTACAAATGTTTCATCTTGCAGAGTTATTGATCCTGCCCTAACCTTCAAAGTCTAAAAGCTGAATTTCTGTTTAGGCTGTGTATCATTGATTTAGATGTTGGTTTTATCACACACAAGGTGCTTCCTAATTAACAAAACCAGTAATGTGCCCTTGGGAACAATGACTCCTTTGTCCATCAAACTAAATATGATGTCTGTGCTTCCTCTCTGGCACTGCCACTGAACACAGTGTCCAGTGTCCACTGATATCCAGTGTCCCATCAGTTAATGGAGTTGCAAGAGAGTAGGAGCAGTGTGAAGGTAAAGAATACTGGAAAACATTGAGAGTAAAGTGAGAGTGTTAGGAGGCTGATGCTCCTATTTCTACGGAGAGAAGGTTAGTATGCCAAAAAACTTCTCTGTTCCTGTTACATTACTTGGATTACTAAATGACTACCATTGTCTTTAGACAGACAGCTACGTAGGGCATGCTCTTCAGCATCTCAAAATGGGGATGGGCTCTTGGGATCAGCCACTTCTTCTCAAAGCAGTTTGGAAAGGCACATAGTGACTTGCTGCAGGACGCAGGGTGTCTGCATCCAGTGAAACAAGTTTTGTCAGGTGAAGGAGGATGGGCTCAAGTGTCATCAGGGCCAAGGTGCGTTGTGGGGGGAAATTTAGTATCTAGAAACTCACGCATGGCAGTTAAGCGTGCCTCCTTGCTTTTCCCTCCCCATAGTTGGTCCTTGCATTTCCTTCTAGGAAACATAATCCGGCTTTAGTCTGGCGCAGAGGGTCTTGCAAAGTACTGCCTCGTCTCAGCACAGCTGCTCTGCTCGTGGCTGCCTGCTCAGCGGGGCTGGATGCATACCTTACCACAACCTGCTGCACGCAACCCGGCGGAGACCTGAGCTTTGACTGCTGCACCAGGACTTGACTGCGTGAGGACTCCGAAGGGGAGCATCCGCGTCAGGCACGAGAAAGAGTGCTTCAGCGTCACTGCCGCCGTGTGCCAGCCCCGCGGTGCCACTTCTCACACTGGCGGGGACGAGCAGTGCTCCACAGCCCACGTTGCTGCTGACAGCCGACTCCAAGGCAGGGAACACCCAGCCAGGACACCGACCCCGCCACCACTCCGGAGCTGTCCTGTCCCGCCCGTCTTCTCGCGATACTTCTTCCTGCGCCGAGCGGCCGGCGCGCGCCGGAAGGGAAGAGGGGCGCGTGCGCGCCTGGCGCGGGCGCGCGCGGGGAATGTCGGCCACGTGCGCCGTGTCCCGGAAAGCTCCGCCGCCGCTGTCCCGGGGCGAGGGGGATCCGTCGGCCAAAGTGATGCGCAGGGGGCTGCGGAGAGGCCGCGAGGAGGAGCAGGAGCAGCTGCCGTGGCCGGGGGAGAGCGCGTGCGGCCGGGGCGCGGAGCCCGAGGGGGAGCAGGCGGCCCCGCTCAGGGACGAGCGGCGGAGGCGGCAGCCGCTGGAGCCGAGGGCGCTGGCGGCGGCGGCCAGGGAGGAGGAGGAGGAACGTCTGGAGCGGGAGCATTTCCGGAGGATCATCAACGCCTTCCGATATTACGGGTAACGGAGACCTGATCCCTGTGCGTGGTGCCTGCGGGGGGGCCCTGCGCTCGCTGACCGGCCCCCGCAGGGTTCCGGGCTATCCTGCAGCTCCCGGAGCAGGGCGCTCCCCCGTGCGATCTGCGCTCCCTGGCGAGCACTGTGCCGGTGGCGGGGCACAGCAGCCCGAGTCGGGAAGGGGCTTCTGCGCCACTTACCTTTCTGGATACGCTCAAAGTCGCTTTGATACTTGTCAGTTCGGAAGCATAAAAGAAAGCACGAAACCTGAAGAGAATGTGAAAGATTTCTTAGGAGATAAAATACTCTAAGATACTGTAAAGTCTTCAAAACAGTAGTAGTTCGTGCTGGCAAAGAAATGCAAATAGTGTTTCAAATATTGCGGAAATCCATGAAAGATATTTTAGTTTGCACGAGAGATAAGGGCTAATGGCTGCCATTTTTAATAACATCTGTTGAGTTAGAAGAGGGCTTACTGGCCCCATAGAAATGAGATAAATCTAACTTTATGATTGAATCCATTGAATAGAAGAGGAAACAAGTTACTAAAATGGCGTGGTGGTGGAGACTGGCTGAAAAAGTCCAGTCTTTTTCAGTATTTTGATAAACTTTCCTGTTTTTAGGTTTGGGAAGCAGATTTGGTATGTAGCAACACTGTATATCTCTGTACTTCAGTTGACCAAGCCCCATCATGTGACTCATTACTAGGTTTTGAACCCTTTTTGTCACAAGCGTAATTTTTACATGATAGGGAGGTTCTTGATAGAAGTGGGTGATATTTATGTAACTTCTCCTGTTTGAGGTTTTCCTGTCTTCAGTTTTATTTGTTTTCCGGAATTAGTGTTTGAGCAGGGAGGTTGGTCTAGATGATACTTCAGTGTGTCTTCCAAAGTGAATTCTCTAATTCATTTGGGACGTATCAAAGACTTAGTTAAAAGTAGCCATTGATACTAGTGGCTATTAATGCAATTCCCAACTGTAATTTACTCATGAAATTTTATCCTCAGGCCTGACAAGCTGGGAACATCATTCTCAACCTCATGCTGAACTGTGGCTCTGGGTTGCTTTTGAATACTTGTTCTAGTAAATACATAAGAAAAAGATGTGACCTAAATTTTCAGTACAGAAGTTCAATTAAATTACTTCTGTCTCACAGAAATAACTCTGAATGTAGGTGAAATTACATATCTCAGTAGTTTAAAATAATTGGAATTTTTGTTTACATACAGATGTTTATTAATTGGGAACATCTGTATGAATAAGGCAATAACACACTTTCAGATGAGTCCAGATCTTGTTCTTCTCCTCTTAAGAGAAATAGACATAACTTCATTATTTGTAGTTCTGATTGCAGTGAATTATTAATTTTGCTAGATGGCTGCAATTAGCATGAAAGGGTGGAGAATTAGGTTCAAAGATATTTTTTTTTCGGATAAAACCTTTCAAGAAGATGATGTTAAGTTAAGCTGATGTGTTCTATATTGAGGATCAGTTTATTTTTCTATTGTTTCTTCTCTGTTACTTAATGTAATTTTAAACCAGTGTAGCTATTGTAGTGAAGAAGCCCTTCTCAGAAACATATGCATGAAATATTAACTGGTCAAATTTCAAGACTGAGGTTGCAACTAAAATTGCAGCAATTGCACCTTACTCTCACTGATGGTTAGTTTTCAACTTTGTACGGCTTTATGCTAACATAAGAGTTTGGGAAACTGCAGTATGACTTGACCAGCCTAAATGATTTGGTGGACAAAAGGGGCAGTGTCTCTTGTCCTGGCTTTATGACTGTGCTCAGCAACGAGACTTCTGTCAGTTTAGACAGAAGTCAAATCTAGAAAACTCTAGCAAAATCTTAGAAGGTTCACCTTTTTTGTGACACTTTTATCTTGGAGAAGTAGAAGAGGTATTTTTAGCTTGTATCAGTTCCATGATCAAATTCACAGTACTAATACTTAGGGTAATATGCTGTTAAAAGGGGGTAGGTTAGTATCTTAGTGTGGCTGATGGAACTCTGGCATGGTCCAGCTATGACTTTTGCAGTTCTTTCAGAAGCAGTTTATCTTGAGGATCCCAATTTGCACTCCATGTCATTATTTCTGTAACCAAAGTTTACCACTGCATCTAGCTATTCATTCAATTTAATTTGGATTTGGGAAACAATCTTGGAGATGGTTGTTTGTTAAATTTTGTAGACCCATGGATTAAGGTAGTGATCACCTGCTCTGGAAATAAGTGGCTAATGATGAAACTTAAGTCCTCTTAAGCAGGAACATGTTAAAAAGAGTGATAATGTAGAACTAGAGCTTTAAAAAATTTTTGCCTAAAAAATTCTTGAGAACTTGTTATCTTGTAAAGAATTACAAAGTCTGATCACTTTCTGTGTATAACAAAGTGAATAATTGTCATTGGAATAGCTTACAGTGAATTATTTACATGTAATTTGTGTATTGGTTCTAAATATCTAAAACTTTTGCTTTTTAGAACGAATATGCATGAACGAGTGAACAGAACAGAGAGGCAGTTTAAGTCTCTCCCAGCTAACCAACAGAGTCTTCTTCCTCAATTTCTTCCGCACCTTGACAAGATTCGGAAGTGCATTGATCATAATCAAGAGATACTACAGACCATTGTGAATGACTGCGTTCATATGTTTGAAAATAAAGAATATGGAGAAGACGTATGTGAAAGTGGACTTTTTCTTGATCCAAAACTAAAGTCTGTATGCTTTGGGATTTTCTACATTTGTTTTTCACACCTCTAGGCCTCCAACTTTCTTTCCTTTTGCCTTTATTTTCTCATTGCTTGTTTCTTGCTTGCTTACACTTTTCTCACTCTTTCACATTTTGCTAAGCTGATGCTTACTAGAGCTGTTTCTTGCTGGTTCTTTTAGTTACACTTAGGAAAACTAACTGTGAATCTGGCAAATGTTTGTAAAAAGGTATTTTTCTCTGTGGAGTTCTAGCTTTACTCTGCTTACATTTTAAAGTTATTTTTTCTATTAACTATGTAGAACAGAAATGATATTGTCTGTCTTACTGTAGGTTATTATATGTTACAGCATTCTGAATTGGTTGCAATTCTAGATAGGCCAAGTATTTTTAATGTTGTTATTGGTGAGCACTTTTTTACTACTTGACCTGCTTTTTTAGTGTGGTGTCTCTGTCAAACAAAATGGCCCTCAGACTTAAAAGACTGACAGAGATGGAAACTGAAGTCCTTTTTGGTATCGGCAGACAAAATTCAGTAATGGGCAACTCTAAAGTGAGCTTCTTAGTGTTGCCATACCAGTACCTAAAGGGATCCTCTTTTCAGAGTAACCAGTTCACCTTCTGCACTAGCTAGGCCCTGATCCTTTCCTGAATAAGGACTACTAATTTGCTTTGCTATGCCATACTGTGTATTTTTTTCTGATGTGGAAACTGGTCTGTTGGATGTCAAATGGAGACAGCAAACTCAGTTTATTTAGGATATTAAGGTGGACTTGAGCTCTGGTCCCAGGAATGAAAGGCAAGTGCTTTGTCAGCTAAAACTCCCAACAGCTCTTATAGCGTGGCATTTTTCTGTTTATAATTTCTTTTTTTTTTCCCCCAAGACTCAAAAAACTTTGTACATTTTCCACTAACTTTTTTTTTTCCCCACGTTAATCAGGGAAACGGGAAGATTACACCAGCTTCAACATTTGACATGGATAAATTAAAGTCCACATTGAAACAATTTGTGAGAGACTGGAGTGAAGAGGGAAAGTCTGAGAGAGATTCCTGCTACCAGCCAATCATTAGTGAAATTGTAAAGAACTTTCCAAAAGAAAGATGGTAATAGTGTCTTAAGACTTATATTTATGTGGAGATAAACTGTTGCACAAATCTAACGAAGTTTGTGTGGAGTAATGAAAAACTTTGTTTCAAAATATAGGAATTTTTGTGAACGCAGTGGAGTTTATTTTTTAATCAGGAAAGTTTTTATTTCTAATACAAGGTGTTGAAAAAACCCATATTAATAAACTTCACAAAGTAATACCAGGTAAATCAGGAATAGTGTTTTGTTGTTGTTCTGCAGCTTGGTGTACCAGAATGTATTTAACCTTTCAAGTAAAAGACTTCAGGAGTGTGTGAAGTTAACTCAGTTATGCTCAGCAAGGTAAAGTTTGCAGGTTAGCAGATTATCAAAGTGTGTGTGCTACAGATAAAAGCAAGGACCCTTGTGACAGCAGGAAGTATCACTATTGCCCTTCATGATGGAAGTAAGGAGGAATACTCTTAACCTCTAGTGCAGTTGCACTTAGTTGCACTAAGAATTTACTCTGAAAATAGTAAATTCTAGCCTTGGTTTCAAACAGGTGTTACAAGACAATTCTTAAAAAGCTTTGCTGCATGTATGAGGGTAACTTTGTAACCGTATTGGCTTGTTAACACTGTAAAATAGTTGTTGATGCAGGGTTTTTTGGGTAACTTCAGGTAGAAGTATACTGGTAAAATCTCAAAAGGTAGTAGTGCTATAAGAATTCCATATTTAATGATTCTGTCAATTAATCAACTCAGCTATCTTAAAGTATATTTTAGGTAAAACTTAACAGTCTTACAGTTAGAATATATGAGAACTTTCTACTCACAAATGTAACAAGCCACAACTTAGATTTGATATAGGTGGGTATTACTCTGCGTTTTTTCTCTCTCAGTAATTGTTAATAATGTACTAGTACAAATTCGGAAAATCTCTTCTACTAGCCATTTTTTAGTTTCCTCTTTGTGGTGGCAGAACATGGAGTGGATGTGGTTGATTTCTATTTTGCTTTGGACTGATTTATGTCAAGATAGAAAATGTTTTATCTGAAAGTGAACTTTGCAATGCTTTTTAGTGCTAATAGTGCCCTACATAAGATAAAAATGAATTAAATACTGCAGGTTACTTGGTGCATCTCTGATGTGTGGGTCTATAGGAAAACTCATAGTTAGGTAGCAGTTCACCTTTTTCTCTTGTATGCTAGGCTTTAATGGATTTTGTTTATGAGAGAGAGAGCTTATGTCAGATCTTAAAAGATCCATGACTGAGGCTGAAAAATCTTGACTTTTACATTTGTCATCAATGAACTCTATTTCAAAACCGCCAGTATGTATTAGGAAGCAACATGTGGTAACAGTTTGGGTGAATCTGAAGTTGGTGGGTTTGTGCTTCTTTACCAGGAGTTCTGGTGGTGGTCAAACAGAACTAATGTGACAGAGCATGTGTCCCTATTATGGTGGCTCTGAAATACCATTTGAGTTTATTTTGTCTCTACCAAAATCTCAATACATCACTGTATAGATCAAGCATCTCTACTACAAGTTTGAGTTTGTCAAACTACATGGTGGGTTTTTTAATTTCTTAAATATGTTTTAAATAAATACGTATTTAAAAGTTTAATATTCATTATCACTATGGAGCTGTTGTAGCACTTGTATAAAACCTTTTCTCTGTTCACATATTGTTAGCTACTGTCTAGCTCATTCTTTTTCCCAGTTACCAAAGGCACTCTCCTACTTATGTATACTTACCTCTTTGAGGTAAGAAGCAGAATCATGTACTATCAACTGGCAGTGCGAGAAGTAACTTCCCTGGCAGGGCATGCTAGCTAGTCGGTCTGGTATACAATTTTATACAACCTTCACTCTCATCCCCAGTGACAGGACTCGAGGAAAGAGCATGAAGCTGAGTCAGGGAATGTTTAGGTTGGATATCAGGAAAAAGTTATTCACCCAAAGGATGGTTGAGCACTGGAACAGGCTCCCCAGGGAAATGGTCACAGCACCAAGCCTGTCTGAGTTCAAGAAGTGTTTTGACAATATTCTCAGGCACAAGGTGGGATTTTTGGGGTGTCCTGTGCAGGGCCAGGAGTTGGACTTGATGATCCTGATGGGTCCTTTCCAACTTGGTATATTCTCTGATTTTATGATTTTGAAGCATAGCGGGTTTTTCAGTTTGAGGGGATAGACAGGGCCTGAACTGACCATAGTGGAGTTATTCTGTCTGTTGTTTATAGTGGGAGAGGACTAACTGTGGACACTAATGTATGAAAACAGGTTGTAGATGAACCTCAGAGTTCAGCTTTGCATTTCTTTAGAGTTCTCTTTTGTGCTGAAGTCTCCTGAGACGATGAAATGAAAGTGCTAGACAAAAAGTACATTGGTGGCACTGGATGATGAAAACAACTTTTTCTAGATGTATTTTACATTAAAAATGATAAAGAAATAAATATTTTAAATTTAAAACTGTCAGTGCAAGTCACTTTTTACTTTGTAAAAGAAATTGTAATACACATAAAATTTGTAATACTCAATGGAATGGTATATGCAGTTTCTAGTTAACATAATTTGTTAACATTATTGATTCCGTGCATTGGAATAATGTGAAAAAGGAGTTTAAATTTTTGAAACTATTAAAGTATATTTCGCTCCATGCACGCACATGTTGTAGTATGCTCTTTGCAAGATTGACCTGTATGGGTTCAGTTGGTACCTAAAGAACAGAAAAGCAGCGAAGTATTGTATATGCTTGCTCTTCTGGGAAGTAGAAGAAATACAAGCAACGGTTGAAAGTAGCTGTAAATTACAACAGTCTGAAGAGGTGCTACTGTTATCCTGTGTTTCAGTGTAGTCTTCTGATAAGACTGTCATCTAAAAATAAAATACATGGCCAGAGCTATTCCTGCCTCTTATTCCTCTTCAGAAATAATTCATTCTTTCTTCTTAGCAGAATCTGTTACTAGGATCAACCAAGCATTTTTAAGTGAAATCCCATGAGATCAGGTCTTCCTGAAGAACTGATAGATTTCCTGCATTATTCATGTTGGAATTTAATAGTGTTTCAGCTCCCAGGTGCTCTGTAGTATTTAAATTTCTTGTATTTCTTCAATCTGAATGAGCCATGATCACTGCTTTCTGAAGGAGAAAATAGTAAAACATAGATACATTTTTATTTCTTGATGGACTGTTTGTTAAAGCATTTTTGCAGGGAAGCATTTAAGTTGAAAATCTAAATAAGCATACTGATACATTTTTTCTGATTCCCCTTTTTTCTGTCGTCTTAATTTCATTTCACTTCTACTGTTGTTACCCTTCCTGTTTAAGTGAAAGGATGTAAAGATCATCAGCTTCTTTTCCAAAAGAAATCTAAGAAATAATTAACCTTTCTGTTAATTAAATTAATTAAATTTGTTAATTTAATTAATTCCATGGCCAAGAACAGTATACTTAGGTATTTTTTCCATTGTTTGCTTCTCATTACATGGCCTCTGGAATCAACTATAATTTGAAATTTATCTTTGTTATCCTGTCCAGCAATCAATTGCATTTTCCAAGGTGCTGGCAGAACAGCCCAAAAGAGATCACCAGAGCTTAGTTTCCTTTTTATAAGAAAAACAGCTTATTGGTCCTGAGCTTGGTTATACTTCTTGAATGTGCTCAGTCACATTTATAGTAGAGTTGAAATTTCTGCTTTATTTGAATTTTATTTAACTTTATAGAATATACATCTGTCCTTGGAGGTTTTTGTACTTAGCTTAAGCTTCCCTTTAAACATTGGACTTAAGAGCAAACTGTATTTTCAGTGTTACTACAGTCCACTGAGTGCTTTGCAGATCTTTACGTGACAGTATGTAAAACTCAGCTGCCAAGTTTGAGAAAAATTGGTCTTCAAATTATTGTGCTGTTCAGTGTTTGTCTTTAAAAAGTCTCTGAAAATATGATTTAAGTAAAATAATGAAAATCCTTTGCTGAGAATGGTATTTAAATATACAGACATTGTAAACACCAGGAAAGGATTCCCACAGTGTGATTTTATTTTGATATTTGCGCTGATCAGAAGCCCATCTCTGTATGGGATGTGTATTTATCACTTCTTTTCATTACATAAATTGAACTGCAGTGTTCAGTTTATGAAAATGAGTTTCATGTCTCATCAGATACACTAATTTTTATTTTGCTGAGCATGTCTACCACTTTAGCACCATTATTTTTGTTTACAGCACAATATGCATGAAATAAGCCTCTGTTTTAATCATGTTTAATGTTTCCTGTTAAAAAAAGCACACCTTTAAAAAAGTTAAAATCTTCCTTAAAAGCTGAAAATATATCACACTGCAAAATGCAGTACAAAAATGTCATGACAGACATGGTTATTTCTGATATTTCTCCACTATCTTTTTTTAAGAGACTTTTGCAGTTTCAGTAGTTGAGCCAAATAGAACCATGCAGCCCTCTTGCCTGCTTTCCCTGGTCTTTGGCTAGCCTCGTCTCCCCATACCTGCCAAGTTAATAGGCTAATGTTTCTACTCTACTGGACCACAATTATTTAGTGGATATTTGTTGGATACCCATTTATGTTCCTAACTGCTGCTAGATGTGTCATAGAAATCCTGCTGCTGCTGACTGGGTCAAGGCTAGTTTTCACTGTGGATAACTTTGCGTTATTATATTATTGCAGGTTTTGATTTTTTTTTTTAATTGTCTTAGCTACTGCTGCAATCACATATCCACCAAAGGAAAGTGTGTTTTTTCTAATCTATTAAAGGACTGTGGCCATTAAAAAAGCAGTTTCTGTGCAATTAAAGATTTTTAGCTATTGTCACGATTTAAAATTCAACACACATAGTGCATTGGGGTGCTTCCACTACCACAGCTTTCATACCTTGTTTTTTTTTTAATTCATTAATAGGTTGTCACAAACAATTCTTTCTAAGTCTTGAAAAGAAAAAGGTGTTTGACCATTTTTTCTGAAAACAGGGCACTACTTGTGTCACTACTTGTTATGCAGTCAGTTTGCCACATACCTAATTTCTCTGACTATAAATTAAAAAAAAATGCTCTTGAACCATTTTGGAAGGCTAGTTCAATGTTAGTGGATTGAGATTTGGTTATATTGTATTTTATTAGCTGTGCTCTGTAGGCTGAAATGAAGTTGATGGCCAGGGCCAGTGTCTGGCAACTGATGTAAAGAGTACAGGTAGAAATTACATTGCTAACAAATTTCCAGACAGGCTTTAATCCCGTAATAAAGGTACAAATGAAAGTTTAGTTAAGACTGCACTAGAAAAATACAATAGAAAACTACTTACTAAAAGAGAATTTGGAAAATTTGTTTAGAAATACGAAAACTTTATATTGTGAATGAAAAGGTACAAGACAATTACATGCAATTTAAAATCAACTCACTTTACTGTTAGAGGCTTTATCTTGTTTTAGGAGGCATAAAGGTGCAGATTTCAAAATACGAATACACCTGCATTATTAGGTTGTTTTAAGAAAAGTCTTTTTTCTAATCAATGTATCATAATCTTAAAAGTGGCTTAAGGCTTTTCAACCCACTCATTGTAGAAGTGTCCACATGGGTGCTAAAATCTATGTAGAACTAGTCTAAATATTTCATGAATAAAGTGAAATTGTAAGGAAATGAAGAAATAGATGAAGTTAGAAATAGATTTAGAATAACAGTGTATCACTATGAATAGGAAAAACTTTAGATTGAGGCTTTTCTAGCTTCTTCTGGAAAGTGCATTTTCTTCCTTCTTCTCCTGGTTCCATATTTTCAGAAGTATTGTCTTGAGCATGTAGTTTTCTCCTTAATTAATGTTTTGTTTTTTTTTTTCAGTAGGACCGTCTTCTGGCTTCCCTTGTAGAGTAGAGGTAGTAAGAACCATTGCTTCACAGGATTGCTCTTAAGAAATAACAAAGTCTTGATTTCCTACTTCTTTTTAATCAGAAAAAGAGCCTGCATATATAATGGAAATGAAATGAAAGGAATGATTTTTCCGTTTCAGAGGCGTCATCACTAATTACGTGATTAGGTCAAAACCCAAAAGACACTGTCAAAACTTCTTTGTTACGTTGTGTGCCCTTTAGAAAAGAGTAATACTTTCTGTTGATTTTTGGGTAATAGTGTTCAGAAATGCTTTTCAGAATTTACATAACTCCTTCAGTCATCTTTGTGCTTATGCAGCATGCTAACTCTTGAACCCTTCTTGGCATGCTGAATTTTTAAGTTGTCAAAGGCTTTGCATTTTGCTCTCTGTGCTTGGATCTTCTGTTTGTGGCCTTCTCTTCCATTTAGTTGTATATAAATTGATAGACATATGTTTTGTCTTGGCACATGACATGCAAAACAGAGAGTAGTATGAGTGTTCATGCTCTTTTTTGGTATATGAAATAAAGTCTTGTTCATGGCTGGAAACTGGAAAATTATTTCTTTTTAGATTAGGTATCTTTTCAGTTTGGCATGGGAGTGGGTTTTGTTATATGAGTGGAGATTTTATTGCACTGTGGTGGAAGCCTGATGGTTACAATAAGTCTGTATTGCCTTTTCTGCCTCAAAGAGGAGCAAATTTTGAGATTTTTGGTTCTCTTATTCGTTAGTTGCTGCACTTGGAAGATGGGAGAGATTTTTCTAGGTATTTCAGTAAACACACTGCAGGATGTCTTCTGGTTGTCTTCAACTTCATGCCTGGTTAGGGGTAAAGGGTTGGAGAGCCAATTTAGGAAATATGTCACTTAGACACTTCAGGGAAACCCACAGTTGCTGATGGTGACCAAGGTTTTTATGTTCTGAATTGTTCATCAGATTATGCAGGTTTTATGTTTCTCATTTCTCATGTCAAAATACTTGTTTATTTTTCATGCAAAGTAACAAAAGTGTATCTAGAATACTTACTGATTATCAGCGGGACTCGGACAAATATGTGGTTCTATATGATACTATTCTTCTATTCACTTAAGAGATTTTTGGCTTGATAACTGTAAAAGTTTTAAGGAAAAATATCGTTCACTAATTGTGCTCTGTATTCTGAATGAGGGTTGTGTATGTTCTTTTAGGTAGTTTCTGTGTATTGTTTTGACTGTACAATTAACCAATCTGATCAGAACTGGCTCAGTTTCCATTTAAAAGTAAAGTAATACAGGAAGTATAATATCTAAGTATATGGGGGGAAAATGTTTGAGTGGACCTCTAAGTTGTGTTAAGAGGTATCAGATAAAGACTTAACTATTATTTTTGTTCTATTGCAGGGATTTCTCCAAAGTTAATATCCTGGTACCTGGTGCTGGGCTAGGTAGATTGGCGTGGGAAATAGCTATGCTCGGTTATGCTTGCCAAGGAAATGAATGGAGCCTCTTTATGCTCTTTTCTTCTAACTTTGTACTCAACAGGTATATAGCTTACATTTTACTTGCTGATTAAAACCTAGAGAGGCCAAGTCATAAATGAGAAAAGTCTGAATATGTAAATCTCACAAGAACAGATTTGTAAGTCCTAATACAGGACACACATAACCACTGTTTACAATGTTTTAATGAAAAAAAAAAAAAGAAGTCATAGGGATAAATGGGGAAGGAGGGATTGTACCTGAGTCATTAAAATTATAGGAAGCATGGGTTTTAAGTTATGAGATTTAGAATCTCTAGATTGCACCACAGATTTTCTGCAAAATTTTGATTAGGTTTTGTGATTTATTTCACATGGTTCTGTAAAATGCGCACCTCTCTTACTGGTGTCAAATATGGGCTCATAAATATGTTCGTGGTATGTAGTGGTCATGATTATTAACAGAGGAAAGCTGCTAAAAGAAAGTATTACATTCCATACTAAGATTTTAGGCACTGTTTTGACATGAAAAACAACCACTGAAGCATGCTGAGCATGAGTGGCTAAAGTAAGAGTTAACAGTTCCCCAGTTATGCAGAGGTAATAGATTTGAATGTAGTAAATTTCACTTTACAGGTTTAATTTCAAATTACATTTTTGTATTTGGTATTCTGCCACTTGCATTGGAAATTACTGGTTTCAGAATAAAGTTATTAGAGAGGAAAGAAGGCAGCACATGCAACTGTTCTTTTAAGAAAGAGGGTAGGAAGACTACAGGTGGGCAAGTATGAAAGTGGTCTGGGGGATGTTTTGGTGGAGTTGGTGCCAAGTTCAGAGAGACGATTTGCCAGTCATTCATCAGTCTCTAAGTGTACACCTTTGCTGAAAACACCTAAACTATTGGTTTGTATTCTGTATTACCATAAAACATAAAGATCTGTTTATAGATTGATTGTCCACAGAGCACCGTGATGATCTTACATCTCTTACAGCTTACTGTTCAAAAACAGCAAGAGGAAAACACTGTTTATGATGGCTTCCGCATCTGCGTGTAACAGTAGTGGTCAATGTGTTGAAAATAGATATTTACTGGAGGTTCATTTGTTCTTTTTTCCTACATTATTCTCACATGCATCATCTGCTGGTGAAATTGTATATTACAGTTGATCTGACTGATGCCTTGCAGCTACTCAAAGGAAGTCACATTCCTCTTGCGCTTTGGAACTTTTGAAATTATTCAAAGCAGCAAAAAAATATTAATTTCCTGTCTTTTGTAGCACTGATCAACTGTCACAGAGGTTAACTTCATCCCTACCATCCCTACTTCATCCCTACCATCCTGCCTGATGGCAGGCTTCCTTAAATAATGAGTCTTTGGCCTATATGTGGAATTGTCCTGAAGATTCACGCTTAGCCAACAGTGGTAATCATTCTTAGCATCTAGTGCTCATGTAGTGTTTCCTGTTTATATAGGATATTTAGCAAAGAGGTGTATATGCATTAAACTTGCTAACAGTATGTGATTTTAGACAGCAAAATTGAGTGTTGTATAACTGCTGTAATCTTCATCACTTCTGGGCAAATTATCAGTTACATCTCCTTGGAAGAGAATACTGCTAGCCTGACTATGAACTGCAGTCAATTCAGTTCAAATCCAAGCATTTTCCTTTCTGCCAGATCTAGATGGGGGCTTGGTGTGTCTTTTACGAAGGTCTTAGGGACTTGGAGAATCTTTCAGTTTAGTCTTAAGTGGCTGTTCACAGTTCAGCCTTCTGAAATGGACATTTTTGATTTCCTGAAACTGGAAGAAACAGCAATTATCAATATGAGCTGAAAATAATAGTTAAGGAAGAGTGGTAAAAAACAAGGATTTAGTGACTTAGTTTTTAACTATAGTCTCAAGTTAATTTCTTTTTTTCAGTTGATGAAAGCATGAGGATTTTGCTAACATGTGCTTAACAGTTTGGATATACCTTCTTTCTCTGACCATGGTTCATTTTTAGGAGGATGAAGTACTGTTTTGAGTGTCAATCCAATTGCTACAGTAGGTTCCTAGATGTACAGTGACTTAATATTTCTGTACACAAAGTGGTATCTGCTGATTTTCACATATTTAAAAAAAACCTTTAATTTTCTTAGATGGTGAACTTCTGTTACAGTGGATAGAGTTGCATGCTATGATATGTAGAGTATGTGTTAAGGCATAACTGTGGTCACTGTAAGTATTTTAAATTATTTAGAGTGTGTTATTCTGTTGAGGAAGCACTAATTTGAGAATAAAGTGATCCTGGAGTACTTAAGCTACGATGGCTCCAAAGCTGCTTCAGTTCGTTTATGGGAAATTCTACTTTTCCTTGTATGCGTAAGGTTTTTATGTGGTGTATTTTTCTAGTGTTTACATGAGTTCTGGATATAATGACAGATGTCACAGGTGATCACTAGTGATACAGACACACTTCATTTCTTAAAGTTTTGGAAGAGGAAAAACTGAAAAGCATAATCTGTTCTGCGTCTGCCGAGCAGCCTAAAGCCACAGGATACTTTACTTCCTTGTGACGTCTGACAGGAGGGGAAACAACACTAGAGTGATATCTGTGTGGATGAGACAGGAGCAGCTGGTGTGCTTGTTTTCTACAGCTGGAGATTTAGAGCACAGGGTCAATAGCCTTGGTTTCACTCACTTTGAGAAAGTTCCATTCAAGTAATATAAAATCACTTTGTACACAAGTTAAAACAGAGTTAGTTTAAAAAAGCTTTAATTAACACCAGTAAAATTCATGCTAGTAATTGATTAATATGTACATTCTGGAAAGAATTTAATTTTAGATAAATCTTGACATTTGGAGAAGGCTTGTTTGTTGCATGTCCATGAAAGCCTTAGGATGAAAACAGTTAAATTACACTTGATCTATAAACCAGTGGTCAGAAGTGAGATTTGATCTATCAGTTTTTTCCAGAACTGAACAGTAAATGCCCTGCTCCTATGGAACATAAAGAAGTATGCCACAATTGAATATGTTAGAGTTTTATAATATAACGTATGTGACACATGTTTTATTGGAATGATGGAATTGCAAAGGGCTGGAGTACTTAGTTTTGAAGTACGGATTGCTGAAGCTGGAAATGGTGGTTTTCAAGCTTGTATATGAAAAGGGGTTGGTCTTTTCTATTAAATTAGCAATTTCCTTTGGAACTGTTTCAGTATACTGCTGCTCAAATAAAAGTCGGTTTTGTATTATTTTTTAATTGATAAAAAGAAATATAAATATGACATGAAGAAGGTAAAAAATGTTATTTCAAAGACTATCACAGATGTATTCTAACCACCAGCCAAAAGAATGCACTTTCTATAACCCAGTAGATTGCTTGCAGTTTATGGAGCATTCGATGACATGTATTTTATGGGACAGCTATGTCCTCTGTTGTTTCTGAAAGGAAATGTTTTTGTTTTTTAGTTACAAACTGATTTTACAAGACCATGGGAAAAGCTTCTTATTATACTTAAATGCTGTATTTTATCACTTTTTAAAAGAAGAGTTGGTTTAGTTAGTCATGTCAACCCAAAAATTTTATTCTACAAAGACATGTTTACTTAGTGTAATTGCAGTGATCCAGAGGTTACAAACTTAAAAATGACTTCTAGTGTGCTTTGTAAAATGGCATTTATTTATTTTTTGAAATTTTAAAGCATCCTTTCCGTTAGCATCTGGAAAATGCTATGTCTCAGAACCTTCTATGATTATGGTTCAGAAAAGACTGAAAAGTCTAGAATGAGAACAAACATTTCCAATAAAATTAATGGAACTAATGTTAATCCTTTTTTTTTTAATAGGAAGATATATGATCCAGAAAATCGTAGCTTTATAGAATATAGTAAATCATAAATTTCATTATTTTTACAAAATAAAGTTATGTATTTTCTTTTCAGCAGAGAAATGAGTTGGAGAAAATTATAAAAAGTTGGAAAAGAGAATTCTAAAACTGGGCAGTTATTTTGTGATAATAATTCGTATGTCAGAGTAAAATTAATTTTTGATCAGTTCATAATGATGGGCAATCTGAAGTGTTGTGAACTAGATTAAGTCCTTTAGCAAATGTGTAGCTTTTACAAGAACTTTGACACTTATATTTCTAAGAGGTAAGCAATTAGCTGAAACTGAATTTTGCCGATTTTCATATTTTGCAGATGCTCTGAAATTAACTCATGTAAGCTTTATCCCTGGATTCATCAATTTAGCAATAACAGAAGATCTGCTGATCAGATACGACCAATTTATTTCCCAGATGTCGATCCTCACAGCCTTCCTTCTGGTTCAAACTTCTCTATGACCGCAGGGGATTTTCAAGAAATTTATTCTGAGTGCAGTGAGTAAATGCAAACCTCTAGGCTATCCATGTAACTTCATGTATCTTCAGAGTATTTGGGATAGTTAATGATTAGAGAGAGAATGGAACTGTATCTACAAGCACTAAGGAAAACTGTAGAAAAACTGTAGTAAAACTAGCTACTAACTGTAGCAAGATTTTCTTATTCAGAATATTTCTCCAGCTGTATAATAAAATGCAAATCAATAGGTCTATTTCTTATTCCAAATCAGCTTTTCTTTTGTTCTTAGTTATAAAAAGAATACGGACGCCTCCTTGTCTAACAGATCTTGCAGGACTCTTCCTTACAGTTACTTAATTTTCTGAAGATTCTCTCTTTACCATTACAACATCTGATACTGGCATAAATCCTCGACTTTTTTTTTTTTTTTATTTACAGAACTTAAAACTTTTGCAATTTCAAGAATGCAATTTTAGAGAAAAACAGGGAGACTCATGCATTAAAAGGTAGATTTTGAAAGTTCCTGCTTGTTAAATTGACCAGTAAAAAACAGCTGGGGAGATATTCTGATACTGAATAAAATGTTTTAAAGCTAAGTGATTTGTGAATGTAGACTTGTATTGTTCTCAATACTAACTAGGGAGGCCTAAAATCACTGGGTATTTTTGCAGTTATATTTTTAACACTTGTCATATGAAGTTCATAGGACAGGTGAGTAATAGCACACTTGGGGCTTCATTTATATAAAATGTTACAACATTTACATTTTACCATATATATGTCATTTTATGTGTATGACCAATTTTATGAAGTGTATACATAACTATATAATGTTTTAGAGTGTGTGTGTACATATACACACTATACGGGTCAAATTAACCCAACCATAACAATTTTTAATATAAACCAAAATATTTTATTTACTTGTAAACAAAATTAGGAGCCTTCGGATGTTGTTAGTTGAAGGTAATTCCGAGTATGTGAACAAATGCCAGGGTTAAATGATGAACTTTCACAGGGTAAAAGCATTCAAACTAATCTCTGTATACTTTGCTCTTTTTATGCAGATACGTGGGACTGTGTAGCAACTTGCTTTTTCATAGATACAGCACATAATGTTATTGATTACATTGATACTATATGGAAAATACTAAAGCCTGGAGGAATATGGATAAATGTAGGCAAGTGTGACCACCCTCTCTTTTTGACTTATTTTTGATGAAATAACAGGCATCTAATACTTGAAAAGTGTGTGTGGATGAGTGTGTCTGTGCAGAAAACTGTACAGCTAGAAAAATACAGGGCTTGGAAATTATCTCAGAAATGTTCAAAATATGTCCAGATGTTTGCTAGTTACAATCAAGTCAACACCGTGTGATTTTTAAATAGGCAAGTAAATCTTCCTAGTGGCAGGTTTAGCATTTGTGCATCAAACATTTGTTATTTGACAAATGTAGTGTTCTGTATTCTTTTTTGCTATTTTTCTAAGAAAGTAAAACTTATTCTATGTGTAAATACACTCTTGCTTTTTTTTTTTAATGTCTAATTGGTACTATGCTTCTAAGCAGACGTTTTGGCAATGAGATTTATGTATGCCTTGGATCAAAACAAAAGAGATTTAATTGAAGTCTTCCGTGGTGAAAGAATGTCAGACAAAACTCAGGCATTAAATATTTTGCATAGTAGAAACTGGTCAGTCACTGGTCAGTCAGTCACTATCCCAGTCCTGGCCAGTCACAGAGTGCAGGCAGAGCTCCTGAGCTTTAGAGAGAGAGGTGATGCTGGACTGAAGAAATGTTAAGATACAGAAAACACAGTCTGGTGGGGAATGTGACAAATTGTTGAATAAGCAGCTGAAGTAATTTGTTTTAGTTTTGCATTGATTCTGAAATTCATTATAAAAATCATACTTGAGTGATAGAAATACATTCTTTTGTCAGTATTTATAGAATCATAGAGTGATTTGGCTTGGAAGGGACTTCAAAGATCATCTAGTTACAACCTCCCTGCTGTGGGCAGGGTACCTTCCACATTTTTGAATATGTGAGTCTGGATATAAGCATTTGTTGTACTTTCAATATGTGCTCTTGATTTTTAAAACATTTTTGTCTTTTTGATAGCCATTTCTATTGTATCTTTGTACTCTAGGTCCTCTCCTTTACCATTTTGAAAACTTGGGAAATGAACTTTCTATAGAATTAAGCTATGAGGATATAAAAAATGTTATCCTACAATATGGATTCCATATAGAGGTAAGAACGTGGTGCAGTTTGCAATGAGTAGTATTGGTATAAACCAAGCAAACTGCTTTGAATAAACCACCATAAATTTAGTTCAACATAATGGTATTTATTAATAACATCTAGGACTATGTGTTACAAATTATCTGCTTTTCTCATTTTTGAGAGGTGTACAGATGGGCCTTGAAGTCTAATATAGCAATTTCTTGTATAATTTCTGTAGAGAATCTGTCTTGAAAACTGCTGCTTTGTTTTTAGGTGGAGAAAGAATCTGTACTGTCAACTTACACTGTGAATGAACTCTCCATGATGAAATACTACTATGAATGCGTGTTGTTTGTGGTGAGAAAACCAGAATAGTAGTGGTCTGAATAGGTTAATGAGAAAAAAAATGTTGGTTTGAAAGCTAGAAATGAGGGTAAAATGGTCTGGGTGATGTATGAACACAACCTCAAATAGTGGTGCCTTCTTATTCCTAAGAGGATATAGATAGTGTCTATTTTCTTAATATCTCTATTGCTATTCGGACATACACTATGCCGTGCATATTTGTAATATACTTGTGAAGGTGGAGGATGTAATGTTCACATACACTGTCACTGTGTTTTGGAGTGCATTAAAAATAAAAGCAAAAATGTTTTCCTGAGAACAAAATTAAATGTTTGCCATAAGTAGGCTAATTCTCTGCATATGTTGCCTAATATTTCATAGATTTATAGTGATTTTTTTCTATTAGCTGATATTAGGAATGCATGGAGGTGCTTACTGTATTATCTGTGTCATGTTTAGAGAAGTATTTTTAAATGTATACTTAAATTATGAAGTCTGAAGTGGTTGGAAAGTGGTAAAATTATTCTTGACAGATAAAATAGCCATCAAAACTGGTAGAGCATTTTCTGTGGAACTGAAATGAAGTAGATTATTGTATAAATGCTAATCTTTGACTGTACCACTGTTAACAGTTTAATTAAAACACAGAGCCTGTGGGCAATTTGAAATACTATGTGAAAGCAGAATACTGAGTGAAGAAAAAGCAGAATGTCACAGAGAAGCAGTATGATAACCTCAGTTGAGGAATACTACCAATTTTGATTGAGCTTTTTGTTGAAACTGAAATGTGTTAGACGCTTTGCCATCTTGTAATACGTTGATTTTGAGTCATCTTCTGACTGCTCAAGCTAAAACTTCCAAAGTTGATAAACATAGCTGAGTTATCCATGCCATGTGTAGGTAGTACAACCTAAAAACATCTGTCGGGGCAGTGAAGTTATAAGAAATAAAATAAGTTTTTTTAATTACAAAACAAAATTATAGGTGCATTGTGAAGTTGTAAGGTATCCAGTTCCAAACTGGACTGGGTACCAGGGGTCTTTTGTGGCCGGAATAAGGGAAATATAAAGTTCCTAAAAATTAAAATGTTTCTGGGCCATTTGGCAAATTTTGAACAGAAGGGTTTCTTTTTTTCTCTTTGGGCTAAGAACAAGGGAAGATCCATCATTTTTGACAGAGGAAACCTTGCAGCCAATGGGAAAGAAGGGAAAGCCCCTTTTCGGAGAAAAGGAAGCCTTCTTAGGCAAAAATTAATATATTAAACTTATCTGAAAAAGGATGGGATTTCGTAAAACTATAAAATGCATGAAATTTAAACCCAAGAGGTCTTTTCTCCCCGGGACCTTGGTGTGAGATGAGACTGGCTCATGCTGAATAAACCTTTCCTTGATGATACAGTTCCTTTGTTTCACAGGTAATTGAATCTTTCTAAATTAAATAACGAGAGATTTCTCACAAAGTTACATGTAAATATGTCCTATAACCTAATCGCCTCTGCATGAGTCAGGATATGCAGGATAACTTCAAACACTTTATCCTTCTGAATTCTTGGTTTGTTCCTTATACTAATGTGTTTTTTTCCTAGCAGATGTGGCTTAGGTGAATTTTTAATGTACAAGTCATGATACTATACAAGAGGCTGAATCTCCTGTCACTTGGAAGTTATGTACATGAGAACAACATTAATTAATAATCACTATTCTGAGTGGAGGTGGTATGTTAAGCATTTTGTTTTCTTAATATATTAGTTACCTTAAGTATAATTTCCACGCATTTTCAAAATGGTCTTTAAAATATAAAAGCATTATGAGGACTCAAGTTTTTTTCATATTTGGCCTTAATGACACTGGTCAATATCTTGTTTATTTCCCATTATTTTTAGTCCTGTCTTTCATGGTGGTGTCCTAATCACCTCCCTTTAACAGATTTGTTACAGCTTTTGAAGATTTTTCCAATTAAGGCCAGAAATTTGTGCCTTTATTCCTAAATTGAAAATCTGCAAGGAGGAAAAACACCAACTTTTTTTTTTTAGTTTGAACACCACATAAGAAAGCATGCACCTGTATATGTTTCAGTACTTTGCCCCTTTCCATTCAGAATCCTTATTGAAATAGAGGTTTCTGGTCAACAGCAGTTTTTAAGTATACCCTGGCTTAAACTAGACTTATTTGTACTCTTCTTTCTAAAAGTGCACCACCATGATTCAGTTCCGTAAATGAGGTGTCAAAGGTCTACCCTGCTCCAAGAGAGGTGTGTTTCAAGAAGAAACAATGCTATTGCAACATAAAATTAAAAACCCTTGCACACCTAAAAATAAAAAAGCCACTTGCTTTAATTTCTGTATTGTACCATTTACTTTAATTTTTGAGGGAATTTATGATTCTTTGCTTTAAATCTGCTTTTTTTTCCTACCAGAATATGATTAGCATTTTACTTAATTTTCAAGCTCCTTGTAGTCAGACATAGCTTAAGTGAATGTCAATTGTGCTATTGCTGAGTAGTATATCTATCTGTAATGTTACCCAATTTCTGCCTCCTTTCCCGTCTGTAACTTGGAATGTGGTGTTCCTGCTTTTCACAAATAGGCAATGGGACTCCTTCTTTCTGGTTGAGTGTCATTATCCTTTGTTCTGGTAGTTTTGTTCCTTGCCACCCCATGTTGTCACAGGTGCCATTTTTATGTGTTTTCTGAAAATGTTTTTATTTGCTTACATCATGTATGATATGGTGGTGTGCTTTTATTTCTGATCTAGAAAATGCTGTTTTCCCCGCATAATATTCTTTTAAATCACAACAGTCACATTAAGAGTTGGAAGTAAAATAATCTTGTGAATGAGCCGTGTTAGTTGTGTTTTACCTACCTATTTATGAGTTCCTAGAATTCACCACTTGTACTGTTATGGGGATCTTTGTGTATTATAGAATGCGATTACTGTTGTATTTGGTTGTATACGTGGGGGAGAATGCTCAAGGTGTTCACCAGATGAGACTGTTTACTTTAGGTCGTTATTAAACTGTACATGGTAACAGATGTAAAATAAAATGCTGCATAACCTTAAGTGTAAAGCTTCTTTATATGGAGTTTGACAAATGTAAAATGGCCTGGGGTTTTTTGTTTGTTTATTTGTTTGGTTTTTTAGGTGGTACATTCTGAAGTCGGTTGCGAAGATAAAGATGGAAAGTTTCACGTTTCTGCGTCCACTTCCCGCTATTTTACAGTGTGTGTAATGGACCTGGGGCTTTTTGGATATTAAAGCTTGGGGCATGGCTTGATTTCGCTCGTGTTTGACTCTGCTTTACTGCCGGGTGCGTTTCATCGCTGCAGCGCTTCCCGCTCCCTCATCCCGTGAGGAAGTGCGGCGGGAGCCCTACCCAGCTCCCAGCGGCGGCGGGCGTGGCGCGCATGCGCGGTCCGTGCGCGGGCGCGGTGCATCTGTCGGCGGAGATCGCGAGCTCCGCGGAGCTGCCGGCGCGCGGCCCCTCATGCCCAAGCGGCGCGCGGAGCCGTTGATGTGTCACGTGCCTGTCAACAAGCGGCTCCTGCGCGTGCCGCCGCTGCCGCGCGCGGCCGAGCGGCGGCCTCGGGACGAACCGGCGCGCGCCGGCCCGGCCGCCCCGAAGCGGCCGCTGGAGGAGGCGGAGGCGCCGCCGGGAAAGCGGCCCGGACCCAGCGCCACCCGTGCGCCGCCGGGAGATGGGGAGGGCGGGTGGCGGCGGCGCGGCGGGTCCGCGGCGCCCCAGGACGAGCGGGTGGCGGAAGGATGCGGCGGTGGCCGGGGCAAAGAGCGGACCTCCGCCGCCGCCGAGGTAACGGAGTGGGGCGGGCCGGGCCCCTCGCCTCCGGGGAGAGAAATGGGCGGGCGGTGCCGGTAGCACCTGAAGCGTTACCGCGGGTGCTGGCGGGCCTTAGCCAGGCATGGCACAGCGCTCGGTGCTGCGCAGCTCCTTCTGTGCCTTCCGGGGTTAATCGGCCGTGGGCTTGTTTAAAACTTTTTTTTTTCTTTCCTTTTTTTCGTTTTCGAAACAAGAGAAGTAGCATCCAGCTTTCTCAACTCCACTCCCCTTCCTTCCCCCTCCCTCCGCCATGGAAAAACTGATGGAAAACAACCTGCCAGGAGTTCACCTTACTTGAGTCTGTACTCTGCCTCATCCCTTTCCCATCAGCGTGGTGGAAGCTTGGAGAGGTTATTGTAGTAGCATGTCTGTTGTGTGAGGGTGAGGGTCAGGCTCACTTACAGCATCAACTTCTTGAACTTCGTGTTTTCCATTTATTACCAATACCAAAGCTGTCTTTTAACCAAAACATCTATTGGAGTCTGTGGTCATAGGAAGAGTATCAGTGATTTAATGATCAGGGTATTACTTTTCTGGTTGACTTTGAACAGTACACGTTCTTCTTTCTGGTTTGACTGTGCTTTACACGGTAGTTCAGAAAACAAAATTTGGTACCAAGAAAGTTTTAATTTTCCAAAAATAAAATGCTAAGCCAAATTTCACACCTATCTAGAAGTTTGATGTATATAAACTCAATTTGTGTCCCACCTGGACCTTTTAAGTAAGACCACAATATTAGATCAAGTGATATGGAAGTAGCAGAAGGTCTTCGAATTACAATTGTAGACTGGTTTTGAGATGTTGGGGCCTTTCACTGTATAACACTCATCTGTAAACCCATCTGTAAAGAAAATGGTGGCTGTTCTTTCTCTTGCTCTGATTTTTCACGTTTTCTTTACTACTTCGTTGGTTGGTTAGTGGTTTTTTTTGGTGATGGATGGTAGAATTAAGGCAAAAAGGAAAATCTGAGGAAAAATTCTATGTCCTATGAAAATTATACAGCCTTTTTAGGCTGTGCCATTTAAACAAGAATCTCTTTCTTTTTTGAAGAGGGAACAAGTGTGTTTTGAAGCATAGCAATTAAACAAATTGAGCAAACCTCTAAAGAGCAGTTTAACTCCATCACAAATATAATGCTGGATTCTTTACTTATCCCTAGGGTTATTTGGCATAGTTTTAGCAGTGATAGGAAGATCAGAAGCCCCTTGAATGTCTACACTCTAAAGAGGATTACTCTGTATAAAATATTTTTGTAGGACTGTATTTTTAACAGGTTGTTTCTCTAAGTACAGTGTTGTATAAAAAGTGTTCTAGTTTTAAAATAAAGCTTGGTTAGCACCTGAGGCAAGAATGTTTCTTCCAGTTTTTTCCTACCCATATATTTTAAATCTTTTATAACGATATTTCTGATGATGATTTTTACACCTTTCTGAAAATACAGTCTCTAGGTTGGGATTATTCTTTGCTGGTTTTGGCTTGTGTATTTCATTACTTATATTCATAAGCTTGATCAGGATACTGTTAATTTCACACTGTCGAAGTTTAAAGCAATTCCAATTATATTACAGTTGGCCAGAGAAGAAATATTATTTTAATTTTATTTGCAAGCCCACTTTTGCAACTAGAGTTGGAACACTAACTAAAATTAAACAACTTAGTCCATAGAAACTGAGCATTTGTATCTCTGAGCTTGCTACATGTTGCCTATCTTGATAGAATTTATTCTCAAAACGTGTGTTGAAACCTATTTAGCTGAAGGTGAATATTTGATTCTTTATTTTGCCTTTTAGGTGTGAATGTTTAGTGTATGTGCCTGTCTTTTGTGCTTGATGGGTTTTTTCATTTTCTCACTGAATTTGGGAGTTATTAATATACTGAAATACTGTTGCTCTGTAGATGTGAAATGTTATGAGATTAATCAAGCATGTAGTCTGAGTCCAAAATTAAGAGTATGCATATTTTTGTGTTTATGAAGTTTTAGATTCTAATCACTTTGAAACAAGCGTGCAGTCGTTTACTCTGTGCATACAAAGTACAGGATTCTGTTTTTATGTACTTAGCTCTCAGCATGAGCAGAAACTTATTAAAATGTAAAGGGAGTTCAGATTAAACATATGGGAGTATTAGTAAAGGTAGTTGACAGTTTCTGAAACTCCACTGCCAGAGATTTTTTTCAAAGAATTTGTTTGCCACCTGCCTTGCACAGTTCTGTGTGAGTGAGGCTGCCTAGTTTGAAATACAGACTGGAAAACCATCCCTGCCACACGTTGTTGATTGTTTTTAATGCTGTGCCGTACACTGGCACTATATAATTTAATTGGTTTTGGTCTCAATTCCCATTAATGGAAATTTTTGTTCTTTGTTATTTTCTGAAGACAGTCTTTTCCCAGTGAGCAAATTCACATTAGTAGTATCCTGCAGGCACAGAACTAACTTGCTGCGATGAAACATGTGCATCTTTCATCCTCTCTTAATTATTATAGGTCTTGAATAATGCAGGTTTTTGCAGTAGAAACAGGTTACCTCGTACAACAGATTATATACAGTTCAGGAGAAGTCTGTGTGGTAAAAAATAGAAAAATGTTTTCTTTAAATGGGCAGTATGGTGAATATACATGTGTCTCTCTTTTGGGAAGTGGGAAGAAGCATAATTTTCCAGTACGTTAGAGAGTATAGGGATGATAACTGCTATTGTTTGAATGTTACATTTTTTTATTCTGTGGCAAAACCAGACAAATCATGAATTTTTTCAAGAGCCATACTGTAAAGGCCCAGAAAAGTTGATGGTGGTGGTGCATACACCACCCCCGCAGGCCACACTGCGGTCTGAGAAATACCAAAACAGTTATACCAGCTTATTTGTTACCACCTATTACAGCTGAGGCAGTAAAGTAAAATATTTAAAAATTCTAATTGTATGTTAGAAAAATGCAAACAAATATTATGTGGAAATGAATTATTTTAGATTTGTGACAGTACTGACTGTTTTTAAATACCAGAAGGAAATACATGTTCAAGATCTAAGGAACAACTTAAGAATTCCTCCTCTTTGTATTGTGTCCGTAGAAACAGTGGCACAGATTGGCCACTGTTTATAACAATGACATGGTTATAAACAGGTAGTGTGTTTTCTAATAGACATTTAAAACAATTTTTTAAAAATGTAATTCCATATTAAAATAGTAGATAAGTACATGTTGCTCCAAGATTTTTCTGATACTGCTTTCCAGTTCTTAAACTTTTCTCTCGAGTATGAAATTTAGACACAGAAAAGAAGAAACAAAGTGTGATTTATGCCTTAATTATCTTGCAATTATCATCATCTGAGTTGATGTAAAGTAAGTAAATACAGTCTTCTGAATGTTTTAAATGTGCATGAAATTTGCATACTGTTATGAGAGGAAAAAGCAGTGAGCAGTTTTTGTATGCAAAGTTCAGTAACTGCACAAGTTTTACAGTATTTTTCTGTGCAAAGGTTGTAAGTTGAAGAAATTGGTGCAGTTATGAATGTATTTCACAGAGGTTGTGTGATAGTTCTTTGCAAGAGTATTTAAAAAGGCAGAATAAATTGTGATTTACTTCAAAATCATAAAATTTTAAGAACTGCTAATATAGAACAGCTGAGTAAGTCCTCCTTGTTTTAGTTTCTTGCATAAAAAGTTTCTTTTTACTGCTGGAATACACATTAATGTTTTGTTGCCTCTTTGTCTATTTGTCTCTTTTCAAAGCAAGAAGAATTCTGTCCGTATAACTCATTCCTGTATTGGAGAGCACCACTGCCTACTATTGATTTGTCTGATATTCAGGACCTAGTTGGGGAGACTCCATCAAACACAAGAACTTCTTCGAAGACTGATACCACAGAGACTGAAATGGAAACCTGATCAGTTGTTTCATAGTTGGACATTTACTTGCTGGAAACTTGTTTCCAGTGGGATTCAGGGTTTGTTACTTGACTGAATAATAAGCATGCTTATGCCATCTTGAAGAAACTGTTGTGGCAGTCTGCAAAAGCAAGTCTGAGTTGCCTAAGTGAATGGGATAATCGGTATTGGGTACTTTATAGTAAGCTCTCTGGAGGTGTGCAGTATGGAGGAGGCTATGATGCCTAACAAGAATACTTGAAAACATGGAGGAAGACTAGAAGAAAAATACAGAAAATTAGAACTTAAGGGTGCAATTAAAAGAAACAGGTGGATATGTTACATATCAAAGGGGAATGGAAAATCATTTTGTCTGTCCTGAACAAAAAGATGT